GTTCCGATGATGACAGTGTCTGCAGGATATCAGTCGCATCTCCTCGCAGTGCGATAGTCAAAGCAGTAGCTTTTTCAGCGATTGTCCAGCCGTTCGCTCTCGCAGCGGCTTGAAATTGGCAAAAATAATTGGCCCAAGCGGTTTTTCCGTCAAACTGCAGAGGTTTCATAACTGATTTTGAGGCACACCTATTTTCTACTAGTTTCGGTCCCTCCGATGTTTCTTGACATTTTGGTGAATTCGACTTCGCTATTTCTTCTTTTAAAATTTCGATTTTCCTGTTAACATCGTCCTCAATCTGTGCTATTTTGTCTTGTGTATCTATTATCTTTTCTTCTAAGTCCCTGGAGTTTTCTGTTATCTTGTTGTATAAACTTTGTTCTAAATTCAATATTTTATTATTGAAGCTGGCCTATATGTCTTTAGAATTTTCTGCGATCTTATCTTCTAAAATATTCATTTTATCATTTAAAGTTTCTTGCAAATCCTGGGAATTTTCCATAATTTTATCACTGATTTTATTATTCAAATTGTCTTCTAATTTTTGTAAGGACGAGTCAAGGTCACCTTCCAGCTCAAAGCAAAAGGTGTCCTCACCTTCTTCAATCAAAACGTCTCTCAGTCTGGCTTGCAGAATGCTTTTCTTTCCATCTGTCTCGCATTCCCTCTCTTCCAGTATGCATTTAAATCGGACACTTTCAAGTCTTTCAACAATTTCTTCGGAGCCATTGTTAGTCTTTTTATTTTTCTAGTCTATCACACACCCCACACCTGACACCAATTGTTACGTTTTTCGTCGGTTCCGTGTGGATGGAAAGTCACAATTTATTTAAACACTATTTATTTAACACTAATTAACAAAAACAATAACGATAAAAGACTTATAGAACTATTTACAAACGATTTATAACTAAGAATTTATTTTGAATTTTTAGCGCGTCAACTGCACTGGTATATTTATAACTGCCCCCTGTAGGCCACAGCCGCCGGCTTTTATACCGACAGGTAAAGAACTCTAGAATAGTCCATAGATCGTTAGGTGCATAGAGAAGGTTTTCGAATGTTCTCGTATGTACTAGTCCATTCCAGTGGGACTCGATTCTTCTCGAACGAATGAATCATTACGGTGTCTATTCTTTATTGCGATGTTAAGGTCATCTGAGGGCGGGACATATAGTTAGGTTAGGTCGAGTCCACACGGGTCCGCAACAGTACGTTGATATTAGCATATTTAGAAAAAAAATTATAAAGTTTTAATATGTTGAGGTTATACGTACTAAAAGGAGACTTTTTAAAATCAAAAGAGTTCCAAACTGTAAAGTGTAAGCTTCACCCCCAAAAACTACCCCAAATACGCACTGCGGTTTTTTCTCGTTTTTGTCGAAAACCATTAGTCGCACAGAAAATTTTATTCTTGTCAAAAATATTCCTTACAAAATTTGCTACAAAAAAGGTTCTAATACTTATTTTGTTTCTTCGAATAAATATCGAGCAGCAAGCGATCTTAGTTAGGGGTAGTTTTCAGCGCAGATGATTTTTTACCTGACCCTATCAAATTATTTAATGTCAATGAATAAAACACCTTAGATGTTAAAATAATGTTCAATTGTTGCAATGGTAAGAAAATTAGTATATTTTTTGAGTAATTTAATTGATATTTTGTTGTAAAAATTGCCGTCTTTAATTTTCAACAGATATAAAAAATTTATTTGCGATTGCAAGTCGTGACATTGTTTTTGATAGCAATACCTTATTGGTCGAACAGAAAAGCAAATTCCTATGCAATATTAAAAATAAAGAACGACTAATTTCGCAGATTGCAATACACCTAAACAGCGAGAATATTAGCACATCATTTGCAATAGATGAGGCTGATACTCAAATTATTCGTACTGCCATCAAAATATCTGAGAAAAATGAACAAGTTCTAGTCGTTGGACAAGATGTCGATCTAGTTGTTTTATTAGCAGCACTTTCCCCCGATGAAAAAAACATTCTTTTTCTGAAAGAAGCCATAGGTAAGTGAAACAACGAATGTATAGTTCGAGAGACTTGCAATCATCCAGTATTATATGTAATTTAAAAATATCAATATTATTTATTCACGCTATTAGCAGGTGTGACACAACTTCAGGATTTTTTGGAAAAGGAAAACAACAACACGTACAAATATTTAATAAAGGAAAAGACCTTGATAGTATCGTCGATATTTTTAACAATGCAAAGTCAACACCTGAAGAAATTGAAAAAGCTGGAGAGACGTTTATACTGAAACTATACAAACTTCAATCGCCTGAATCTGAAGGGAGCCTTAGTGAGCAAAGATACGCTTGTTTCAAGTTAGTTGGTCAAGCAAACAGCACGGTACTTCAAACATTACAATATGATCTAGACAATTTTACTATATTTTTATAACTTTGCAAACAGATCACTTTTGATAATAGCTTATTTTGCCAAAATCAAACCAAATTTGCTAACAACTATATATTGGGACAGAACAACAAGAAATTTGTTTAATACGGAGTTACATCACCTTTCGCCTTAACAACTGACTGAACTCTTAATGGCATTGTATTTACCAAAGATTGGCACATTTGAGGAGAAAAATTATCCCAAATTTCCTACAGTTTTGTCCGCAAAAATTGTTCGTTGAGGGTGGTTTCTTAAATATTGCTTCATTTTATGCCACACAGTTTCTATAACATTGAGGTCCGGACTACTTGCAGGATGGGATAGAACTTTTATATTATTATTACCGAACCAATTTTTTTAATTGATTTTGTTGAATGGCACGATGCTCCATCTTATTGAAAAATATAGTCTTCATTTGGAAACAATTCTTGAAGACTAGGCAAAAGTGAGGTCTCAAGTATATGTTGATATTTTTGGCCGTTAACAGTGCTATCTATAAAATTTAATTTGCCCAAACATCTTGCTGACATGCAACCCCAAACCATAATCCCCTTAGGAAATTTAACAACCCTCTTTAAGCAATCTTTATGAAAGGCTTCTACTTTATTTCGTATTATTCTTTTTCGATGATATCCAACGCAAACATCAAATTTAGACTCATCGCTAAATATGACCTTATTCCAATCATTTTGTGTCCACGATAATTTAGATTTTGCCCAATTGTAGCGATTTTTCTCTTGAATTTCTGTCAGTAGCGGTTTTTCTTTGGCTTAGTGTATAAGAATTTGTATCAATAATCTTCAGGTAATTGATTATCCACACAAAATAAAGTTTATCTTGTAAAACCCCAGACCGCATTTATGGATATATTTTAGGGAACATTCTCTTGATATATTTAATCCAGATACAGTATTCCATTTAACTGTTACTTCGCGAAGAGTACTTCTTCTCGCAGCTGCCGTACGCAAGGCTTTATTAACTAAATATGTTACAGTGGTCAATAATAGTAGAATGCAATCGTTGATGATGTGCAGGTGTTTAATGAATCATCTTCTTCTCAGAGTGCCGTCTTCATTGTACATTGAAGGTTGGCAACAATCTCGGCGAACTTCTGACGATCTTGGGCAGCTCGAAATAACGAGTGTGCATTCATACCCGTCCAATCTCTGATGTTTTTTAACCATGAATGTTTCTTTGTACCTATACCCCGCTTGCCCTCAATTTTTCCCTCCATTATCAATTTTAACAGCTCATATCTACTTCCACGCATATGACCCAGATAGACTGTCTTACGTTTCTTGGCTATGTGCACTAATTCTCTTTCGCACTGGACTCGCATCAGCACCTCTTCGTTTGTGACATGTGCCGTCCAAGGTATTTTGAGAAGTCTACGAAGAATCCACATCCCAAGGACTTCTATTCTGTTAATGGTGTTAACCTTTAGAGTCCATGATTCACAGCTATGCAATAAAACCGGGTGGACATAGCACTTCACAAACCAGTATCTAAGACTCAGACTTAGGGTGGCATTACACAGTAATGGCCGCATCAGGTTAAAAGTGGCTCTTGCTTGCTCGATTCGGAATCTAATTTCTATTTCTGGATCTAGGTTGTAAATCCAGGTCCCCAAATATTTGAATTTTTCTCCCACTTCTATTCGTTTCCCGTATATACTAATATCTATGGCCGGCTCTGGGGTTTTTGATATTATAAGTATTTTTGTTTTAGTGGTATTTATTTTAAGGCCGTAACGATTTCCGACTGCAGTGGGTTGATTTATCAAGCGTTGCAAGGCTTCTGGACTATCTGCTAGTATCGCGGTATCATCAGCATATCTTAGGTTGAAGTGTTACACCGTTGATCTTAATCCCATCACTCGTGTCTTTCATTGCCTCTTCAAAAATACGTTCTGAGTATACATTAAATAACGTTTAATGAATGTTTGATGTAAATTTAGTATTTCTTTAAGAGTATTCTTTATTAAATTAATTTTTTCGTTTGATTCATTATTTTATGTTTTTATAACTATTTTTGAAACCTCTTTCCTTTCCTTTTCCATTTACACATTTACAGCATTCTCCAAATCAACAAATGATTGCGACTGAATGAAATCGATTTGACTTTTGTTGCATTTGATCTCTATATTTTTGTTTACATTTCGATCCAAGTGTTTTCTATATTTAGGTTTCGGATTTTTCTTTTTGTATTTAAATATGCTAGGTTACCACTAATTTCCTTTGAATTTCGATTCTATAATGTCTAGCAGGTTTGTGATTTGCAGTGGACATCAATTATTATAAATAAGCTGTAAGCGTGCGTGACATGAGCTGTCGAATGCGGAAAATGGCGGAGTTCCGGGCATAATTTATTTAAAAATTAATTTTCTCTATATATATTTTTTTTCTAAATATTTCCGACATTTTAATAGTTAATCTTCTATTTGGGGCATAGTTGAATCCAACAAATCAGAGATTATTAAAATCGGTATAGCCGTTCTTGAGTCACCCGCCGACTTTGTTTTATAATACTTAGTATACTTACTTATAGTAATATATTTTCCGTAATTAATATCAAACAAAAGTAATTACCTTGATTGGTTGTGGAGTTTTTTATCCATAAATCTGCAGGGCTTATCTAGAACATCTTTGTGGCATGAAAGCTCATAAAACCTGAAAAGAACATGATTACATAAGGTAAGAAAAAATTGCAAACAAAAAAGAGAATAATATGAGCATTTAAATGCATCAAATTTTGTCAAAAAATGCAAAAATATGCATATTATTAATATGCTAAAATTGACAATTATTACTTTGAATATTTTTTTTAATTTTTAAGAAATTTTGATAAGAATGTAACTTCAGGTTTAATTTCAAATTTAATTTGACAAAATAATAATAAATAAAACACAATTTTTAGAAAATACAATTTTTTTTATTTATATGATAACATTATCCATGCATAATTAATTAAAAAAGTTAAATAAAATAATTGACATAAGTAAAACTATGCAAAACTAGGCGCTAACGAGGAATGATGGAGCAAGTGGCGTCATCCCGCAAAACGGACCCAACAAGGCCGACATCAAGAAGGAATAGGTCAGAAAATTCGGACCTACCAGTTGTGCATGATACAATAACGCCTGTGAATAACGCTGTGCAATAACGGAAAGATCTCGGGAAAGATAAGATCCTTGACGGTCGAAAATCTATTCTCCGCGCGCATGACGTCACTCGGGTTGTAATTTTCTGTTAAGCTCCGCCCACTACATGCGTAATATCTTATCTTTCCGTTATTGTATCATGCCAGTTGTGAATCCCACTTCTGCACCAGCACGAGGTAGACGTATGCGCTGGACTAAATAGCCATAGCACTTCTTAGAGCATACTATCGAGCTACAAATTTGGAGAAGAACTTAGCCGCTTATATAACAAAACTTGAAGTAAAGTGAATTACAGAACAGCCAACTATAAAGATGAATACACAACGCCTCTTTGGCCAGAGAATCACCCTAGCAGAGAGAGAATACACAAAAGCATCCATTCATCAACAAAACATTGGAGAATTGCAAACAGAAATCCGTTCAAGACAAAAATCGACAGAAAATCATCGTAAGTCATATATATCTGAACGGCAAAGTAGTATTTTCCCAACTATATTGATACTAATTATGAAGCAGTTTTCCACAATATCAACTTAAGTTACAGGAGAATAGAATTGGAGGAAAGACCTAAAATAAGTAAAATCCCTAGCGCGACCGAAAAAGTAAAGAACTTTGCCGAAAGATCAACAATATTGTAAAACCATTAATGGACGACACCAGGAGTCTAGAAGAGACATGTGATCTTATATACTGTGCGGTAGCTACAATATGTGAAATTCTTAAAATAAAACCAACTGACAATAGAACAAGGATATAACCAAAGAACACAGCTCACCCCCATGAGAAAAAAGACTGGTAAGGAGAATCGACAACACCAGAAAACAAATTGGAATTTTGTACGCATTTCTAAAATCCAAAACACCACCATCAAAAAAACTCAAGCATAAAATTCTTCAGCTAGCAAAAAATTAAAAAATCAAACCGTCAAATCCGCTCTCACAACCGCAAATCTCCATCTCCTAATGGAATATCTTGAAAAATTGAGGCAGAAACTTAAAGCATATACCAACAGACTCAAGAGGTACAGAAAGTGAACAAAACGTTACAAAGAAAATCTTCTATATACAAAAACCAAAAACAGTTTTACCGACAACTCGACACAACCGGAAATCAAGTAAATAACACGCGTCCTCAGCGTCAAAACCTGTTCGCATATTGGAATGATATTTAGAGTGTAGGCGTACAACACGAGGATAGAGCGTTCTGGATAAAAGAAGAGACACTGATAAATGGGCAAACGTCCAACCGATGGAAAACATACAAATTAGAATAGACGATATTACCGATGGACCTAAAACAATAAAAAATTAGACAGCTCCCGGACCCGATGAGATTAATAATTTCTGGAGGAAGCAGATAACATCCAGTCATAATGCCCTCGCACGCAAATTTAGCGAAGCTCTTATTAAATCTGCTTGTATTCCAGAATCACAATAATGTTCCCAAAAAAAGGAGAACTACAAGAACCAAAAAATTATAGGCCTATCACCAGCCTTCCGACGGCATATAAAATACTTACTTCTATAATGACAAAAAAAAATAGGCGAATACGTCTTGCAAAACCAAATAATGGCATGGGAGCAAAATGGATGCATGAAAGGGGCAAGAGGATGCAAGGATAACTTAGTAATAGACACAATCATTACAAGACACTGTAAACTAAAGACTCGAAATGCATTTGTGGCTTGGATAGATTACCGCAAGGCATTCGCTTCCATGCCCCATTCTTAGATACTTCGAGTGCTGGAAATATATAAAATCGACATAAGATTGTAATAATTATAAGATTTGTTGTATCCCCCTTGGCGCGGCTTCCTATCAGACGAGGAATATTCCAAGGATATAGCTTTAGTCCACTGTAGTTCTGCCTTGCCCTTAATCCTCTTAGTAACATGCTTAACAGTAGCCCACACGGATACAAAATAAGTTCACGACAATAGTAACAAGACAATCACGCATCTTTTCTATATGGACGACCTTAAACTATACGCTAGGGGCCCGACCAACTTGGCAGCCAATTAGAGACGATAGCAGCTTTTAGTGCGGCAGTTCATATGGAACTGAGAATTGACAAATTTGCGACTATACATATAACCAAAGGTAAAGTCCAGAATCCGGAAAGTATAAGGCTGATGGATAAAACAACAATAGATGAAATAGATTTTTAATAAAAAATTAAAAATCTTTAACATATTCCAGAGTGTTCCAAACTTTCACCAATATAAAACACTTTATGCATATCCTTGTATAATTGACAGATGGGAACGTTCAATTTTAATTTGGAAAGAGATACTAAAAATTTAAATAATCTAGCTACAAATTGCTTAAAAAAATCATCAAAATCGGTGGACTAAAACCCAATATATAAAACTTTCAAATATATCAAAATTTTAAGATGCTCGTTTTTGTTACCGGTGAAGTACTAACTAGGGACGTGTCATCGTAATTGACGATAGAATAAAGCAGAATATAATGATTATATATTAATAATAATAATGATAGTATTTATTACCTTTGTTTATAAGTATCACTTTTATAGAGCTCTACATATATATCTTTATCATTTTTCCCACCTTCTGGTTCGATCATTTCTAAAACTGAAGGGCAGCAGTCTACACCAGGTCCTATGTTGTGCATCAGGTTGAAATCGTGATCAAGTAGTTCTTTATTTTGTCTTGGAAGCAGTCGCTTGCCAGCTTCAAATTTGAGGTTAGCGTTGTGCGAATATGGATAATATCTTCCGTGAAAACTTTGACGGTTGAATGGCGAAGAACTGAAAAATTTAGAAACGTTTTCATTTATACAACATTATTAATAAAAAACATAATTTATAGATATATCTTCCATTCAAAAATATTTTATCTATCTCTTTAATATTTGTATAATATTTAACATCAGCTGTAGATTATATTTCTACTTCTAAGTATATCACTTATCACGTATTATAAAATCATTAGCAGTTTATAAATATGTTTTCTAGTAGAAAAATAGTCACTAAATCACTAGAGGCGGCTCGTGATCAGCTATAAAAGTTAAGCAAAATAATATCATGCACTAATAGAGGACTAGCGATCTTTTTAATTTATTCACCATTTTGATTGATGTACATACATACATGGTTTAGTACATATTAGAAATTAGGAAAACAAAAATTATGTCAGATACAAATTATTGATTTTTTATAAAGTCTTTCCAACAAGAGAATGCCTGACAGAGATAGTATCTAGTTGTCTGTCATTTTAATTCACAGGCAAATTGTATTTTTTAACATTTTTTTGATGTCGTGTGTAAAAACAAAATTCGCTGTCTCGTTGAAAACACTTTATTTTTTATTTAATTAAGATTCTTTAATATATGCTACAATTTTTTGAGGTGACTATTCGCTTCACCCGGCGCGGCGAGCCGATACTGCACTAAATACGATAAAATATGTAGTATATTATGTAGCCGTATTCACTTACCAATCCTATTAGTTCACTAAAACATTTGCTTCATATCTCGCTAAAAGCTGAATAGTAAATAGTTTAAAACCACCATATCTGGATATCTCCAAAGTTCCTCATAAAGATGTATCCAGTCTTGTCAGTGCAACATAAAATCAAATCTAAAATATAAATTAAACACATATAAATATTTAATGCACAAATAATTTATAAAATAATTGTCTATTCACGTTTGTTTTGAAAGTACGGAACGTTTTTGGCAGCTCCCCAAACTTATAGGATTTTGTAAAATTTTATATCCCTTTGGTGTGTGTGCGTGTCTCTTATAGATAGAGATTAATATTAATTGCATGGTGTGTATGTTTGACTGATTGCGGTGTAACATAGCGCTGCCTAGACCACCGGCACAAATTTTACTGTGGCCATATTCGCTGCTTTCCGACAAAAGCGGCACAACTCAAAATTTTGTGATTTTGGGTTTTTCTAAACCATAGTAATAAAAAAGCGCATTTTTTAGGATCAACTGTCACATTTTGATTATTGGAATATGATTAACGTGGGAGACCGCACCAGTTTAGATACGTCATGGTTGCGTCGTGACATTTGTGCACGTGGGATCAAGTTTTTTTGTGAAAAAAATCCCAATTCATATAATTCCAGTTTCGTGATATACTTGGATCCTTTTTACTGGGTAAACCTTTTAGGGGACCTTTTGATCTCAAAACAAAAACTATAGTTATATACTATCAACCCCAATTTTAAAGATTAGTTAAAAATTTGTTGCGTAAGAAAGTATATATAACATGATACAAAAGTTTTCAATTTCCTCTACTCTAAAGTTTATTTAAGTTTTTTAAGTAAATTTTAAGTTGTGCCGCTTTTTTACCGGGAAGCAGCACTAACAGGAAACGGAACTGTCGAGTTGATGTTTGACGTTGTCACCTGTATACTATCTATTCATCTATATACTATCTATTCAGTAGTTATTCTCAAGGTATTTTTTTCCAAGTCCAATGTTTTTGTTTGGAATTTAAAGGCATTATACAATATATTATATTTTATAACGCAAAACAATTTTGTGTGTATTTGTTGTATTTTTTGGTGTTTCAGATATTTTGTATTTATGTGTCATTTAGTGTGATCCTGGAACTACGAAAATTCTTACCAGAAATGTATTCACAATTATTTAAGCAGGTTTCAGATATGTAGATCCAAAGTGAATATTTTTATCTTTTAGTTTTCTGATGGTGTCACAATCTGCTTAGAAAATTTGAATGTTACAATATAAAATTAATGTTTTTGTTTTGTATTTGGTTTTACTTTTCATAAATTTGTAGAAACTTTATATTTAATAACGTTAAATTCCATTAAAAATATTAAAATAAAGAACATTACGTTTTATAATATCTTGTCAAAATATGTTGATATTTTTCAATGTCTCCTTCAGATCTATTTGTCTATCAATTTGTGTATCACAAAAGCGCACAACACTTGTAATTAAAAAACGGGCACCTTGATATTTTGATGTATTTTAAAGTTTTATATATTGCGTGTGTTTTATTCTAGTGGACCGATTCTGAGCAATTTATAGCTAAATTATTTGACTTTTTAGCATCTCTTTTTAAGTTAAAAATGGAATTTCTCATCCGTCAATTATACGAAGGAACACATTGCACTAGGTGCATCTTTTCTTGGCAGATTAATTTTTGGTTCATACCAATAGCTTTATTTTTTGGAAGTATTCGCTTTTGAAGAAGACACTAACATTTTGCGTAATGTTTACAATAAAAGCTTTTGGTCCCAATCAACATACCTATGAAATAGTGTATATGATTTATATAATGTCACTGTTATTGAAAAATCATATTATTATTGTCTGTTAGCTGTTGGGCAATTACACTATCAGAGATAGTTTTAGGTCCAAAAGTTGTATCCGGTGTAGTAGCTTTAATTGAAGATGATAGAGATCAAAATTATGTCGCTAAAATATTTAGGTGTGCACGAAGTACAGTGCAGTCGCTTTCTCGAGACAAATTCATATGCTAGACGTCCACGAACCTTCGTATGAGGACTTCGAACCGAGATTATCGACTTATTGTAAGTTTATCGTTAAGAAAACGCCGTACCGGCGCCCGCGCCGGCTCCGTTTACTAGCTTTTCAAATTTATAATGAATTGCACCTAAGGAACGTACATGTAAGACTGTAAGAAGAAGATTAAGCGAAGCAAATGTTATGCCAAGAAGGCCTACTTCGGGACCACAACTCACTAGGTCTGTTGACTAAGACCAAAGCAAAGGCATGGTTTTAATTACGAAAAAATGTTACTGTCTTCTTCAAAAGCTAATATCTCCAACAAAATTAAAACTATTGAGATGAACCAAAAAACAAACTATCGAAAAAGGATGTACCTAGAGGATACAACTATTTTGAAATTCTTTGCTGTTTTAACATATTCTACAGGGAGTTTCAAACTTTTACCAAAATATCAACGTTGTGTTTTCCATCGTGTAATTGATAGATGGAACATTTCATTTTAATTTAGAAAGAGGTGCTAAAGAGTCACATAAATATTACTTAAAAGATCATCAAAATCGGCCACTAAAACAAGATATATTTAACTTTAAAATACATTAAAATTTTAAGGTGTCTTTTTTCATGTCGGTGGATGTATATACAAAACGACCTGGAGTCTCTACAAACGGAAAGTTTATAAAAATGTTCTATATATTACTATCCAAAATAATACTAGATATATCAAAACATTAAAAACTGTAAAAAAGCAATCTATAGAATTGAATAATAAAAAGGAAATTTTTAAGCCACGATAACAATGATTATTATGCTAACTTGCATAAAGTTCGTCATATAAAACTAAAATATTAACACAATAATTCAACATAGAAATTAAGTAGCTATCTTTTGGAACAAGTTTAAAATAATAAAAACTTATAAAAATTTACTGTTAAATAAAGTATACTTTTTAATTTATATTTTTTTCTCAAATTTGTCAATAAATGGAACATATATGTATATCTGACATATAAGTTTATAGATAACTTTTATAAATAAAAGTTTATAATTTACAAATTACTATTATAGCGGATTATTAAAGCTAATGTGGAAAAACTACTGAAGTAAAAACGATACATAGGAGTCAAAACCATTAAGTTAAGATTAAATATGTGCAATAACGGAAAATAAATGACAAAATCATAGTTATCACCTATAGAATTAAATATGCTGCACAGTGTATAGGAAAATAACAACTACTAGCTGTCAGCTAGAGGACAACTACTAGCTGTCAGCTGAGAAGAGAATTTACGCTATTGTAAAAAAACACAGTTATCAGGGAATTTTTAATAAGTTAACATGATGAACCAGAATCCATACAAGTTAAATTTAGAAATTAAACAGAAAACTATAAAACTGACAAGACGAGTCCAAAAACACAGATTGCACAAAATGTAGACACTAATTTTGTATTATATTCAGTAGACAATATACAGGGGTGGCTCATTAATAGCTGTTGGCTAAGAATGAAATTATGAAGAAAACTTTTATTCAAATATTGCATAGTTTACAAAGGTGCATTTCTCAAAAATATTTTCTTGTATGCAGGGTGTCCCAAAAAAAGGTAATGATAAAGTTGTAAGCTTTTTAAATGCAACACTGATTTTTCTGTACAGGATTGGATTCAGCATAAAATTTTGCATATAGTACACTATTTTTATTTTTTAGGGTGTTTCCAAAAACATGTACCATTTCTCGTGGGAAGATTCTCACGTAAAAACAAGATTTATTTTTTATATCAACATAAGTCCGATTCTGCTTGGTTTCGTAGCTAGAGGGGGTTAAAATCTTAATTTTTTTATTTATTATAATTTTCTTCATTTTTCATTTTATTAAATGCAATTAATAAAATTGAAATAAAAATAATAAATTATTTAATCTATTTTTTATTAAACTTTATGACTCTGATATGCAGTGCTACATGCAGACAATTTAAGAAAAAATACTCGTAGCATTCTGCAATGTTTTTTTTTAATTCTAAATATTGCAATGTTGACCAGTCCATAAATAATACCTTGTATAAAATAATTGGAGTTTACCTTCACGGATTTATTTTGTTTGGTGTTTAATATAATATAGGTAAATATTAAGTTAAATTCTCTCTAGGTTTTAACCAATTTTCCGATAGGTATACTGTTTTTAGTCAAACTTTTAATAAATAAGAAATAGCATGGCAACACCGCATTGTGCTTCAAATAAAAATAGTGTTAGTTAGTTAAAATGCAGAGTTTTACGCTGAACTAAGTATCTAGAGACAAA